TCCAACCCAAACCAGTCTGTGATTTTATGATCTCCTGTCCTTTTGCAGAAAGATTTGCCTGTTGAAAGGCGCCAGGATTGACTGTGCTGGTCTGTCCATCCTGTTGTCCTGCAGGGACAGCAGCGGCACTGCCAGTCCCAGCTGCAGGGTATGAATTTGGGGGCACATCTCCACTAGCTGATGTGTCCCAGCTCCTACAGGGTCTTGGAGCACCCTGAGTGGACCATGGGCTTGAGCAGCTCACATCACGGGGAGGGTACCCTGCTCTGCTGTGCCAGTGCCTGTGGGTGAGTAGCCAGCTGGACGGTTGGGTGCCAGGCGAGTGAGTAATGGGGAGTGGTTGGACTTTAGCCGTGCCAGGCTTGATGGACTGTAGAAATATTCAGGGACAGAATTAATTTGGTGTGAGCAGAGGTTTTGGTACTGCAGGCTGCTGTACCCCTGTTGTGTTTTCAGACCCATCTGAGCTTGTGATGCTCTGGCTGGGCTGACCCTGGGCAAGTCTCCTGTTCGTCTGTGCCCCAGTGCCCTGCTGGGACAATGGAAGATAAACGGGAGCTGCTCTGAGAGGAAAAACAGAGGCTGATTTTGCTTCATGTATAAATGTAAAAAAGAATCTTTCTCCAGAAGCAGAGGATCAAAGTTTTCCTTTATTCATAATCTGTCTTTACAATATTTTGCAACATTTAAGTTAAGCCAACAGTGAATTCTTTAGAGGAAATGTTTCCTGGCTTGACAGTGATGCTTAGCTGAATTCTCGTGCCATCCTGTGGGATTATGTTCTACTCTGAGACATTATCCTGTTCCATTGCTTTATGCTCAGAGCTGCTCCAAGTACAAACTTGTGCTTTGTGGCCTATAGCATTTCCAAAAAGCAACTGTTTCTTGGAAGAACTTCATGAAGATGAGTCTGTTTACTTGGATTCAATAGAAACATCTAAGCAAAGCTGCCCATCCCTCGTGCCATCCAAAGTTCAGCTGCTTGCTGTCAGTACCAGCAGTCGTGTCTCTGTAGTCAGAATTTAACTTGCGTTGCTTCTGATTTTAGAAACTCAAATTTATGTTGCTGCTTGTAATTTACTGATGCTGTAGCTCATCAAGAGACAAAATTGCTGGTAATACCTTATTTTTCACAAAATGCGACTTGAAATTTGCAGAGAGAATGGATTTCTGTAGCCACAGGACTGCCTGCACTGTTTGTCACATTCACATGAAAATGTTATTAGTAAAGTTGATCTTCCTTAAAAAGCATGTATTCCTTTTTTTTTTTCATTTGTACACCTTGCTTATAGGCCAGACTTTATTCTCCAAATTAAATTTGTATCTTTTTTGAAGAGTATGCAATCCTCTGTATGTTGAGAAAAGAATCTACACAAAATATTTATAATATGCTTCAAATCATATGTAAAACATCAAGGAAATCTATCTGTCACTTGTGTAACTAGGAGTCTTTTAGAAGTTCTTTAGGTAGTGCAGTCTTGGTGTTCAACTTGGACCTTCAACAGTGGGCTGCCTTCTTGCTTTATTTTTCTTTTAAATCAAGAATTACTTTGCTTTTGACGTTCATCTGGTACTTTGGCACTGTTGGCTTCGGGTTTGGCTCTCTGTGGTGAGTGGTGAGTGTTGGTCACCTCACTGAAACCCTCTTCTAACACTTTGTGTTCTCTTTGTGTTTTCAGCCACTGACGATATTGTTAAAGTTGAAGTCTGGGATGTAGTTGACAAAGGTAAGATTTGGAACTTCTTTTCTAATGGAGATTCATTACTCTTTCTCAGTTTTAATTAAAAACTTACATAGAATTCAGAAATACCTGCTTACTTCTACTTTAGAAAGATGTCTGCACTTATTTTTTTCAAGTGCATGGATGCTACTTGCTGAAAAAATATGGAATGGAGAGAGAAGTCTTTTATTCTAGAGTCCATTATTTAGTATCCAAACTTCAGTTGAAACTCAATATTCAGAAGCAGTTGTCTCACGTGCTCCATGACAGATGAAATAATCTGCTGCTTAGTGTATTCAGATTCTCTCAACTTTATTATAAACTTCATCTTCTCCCTTTATAGTTTTATATACATTTAGACAGCTTCTGAGTTCTTCGTTCTGTTTATAGAAGTTCTTGCCGGGCTGTTTCTGACAAGGAATGCTATTGTTAAATCGATAAAATGTTATCTGCAGTGAATAATGTATGCAGGAGGGAAGGGTAGAAGGGAAGCCAATTACTTAAATTCACTTGGGACAGAAAATGCAATATATTTAATCCAAAATCTTTTCTAAATGCTTAGGCAAGGAAAATATTATGGTATATAAATACGCTTTCCAGTAGTTTTCAATTTTTGTCAGAGTATGAAGTTCTGTTTTATAAAAAATAAAAACAAACCTCAAAAAGGCAGAACCTGGATGCAGTGGAATCTTTTCCTAGCAGGGGCTGGGGTTCAGATGTAAATCTCAACAGCCTGTTCTGTAGCCCCAAGTGCAGATATTGTTTAGCTTTTAAGAGGCATTTTGTACCAGCCAGGTTTAAAGTGTGAGTATGGTCAGGAAAGCAGCTGTACAAGTGAGCATCTCTTGCTCTGGGGGTTGTGCTCCTTGTTTATGTGTTTCTGTCGGTCAAAACTGTTGATCACAGTCATTGAAACTTAAAACTTTTATGGTTTGGCTTCTGCTGCCTTTCCTGCAGCCATAGCTAGAGTCTGTGCTAGCACAGGTTCCTCAGCAGAACAGCATATCTCTGGTGTAACACCTGTGCAACTTACACATGCAGTAACACCAAAAAATAAGAAGTTAATTACAACAGGGAGGAAGAAATTTAATTTTTCATGTTAGCTAAATTGTATTTAAAATAGTAAAAAAAGAAAGGTAATAAAGACAGCAGCTCTAGTTCAGATGCATAACGGAGCCTTCAGGTTAAACTTGAGCCAGTAATTTAAAATTCAAATCCTGAGTACTTTGTCTTTTTATTCTTTTAAGCCCCAGTTTTCACAGTGTAGACAAATCCATACTTAGTTCAGTTACTGCTGAAATCAGTCTGATTACAGTTTGGCTCTCAGATCCTGGGATAACATGTGTAGGGCTGGAATCTGAGCACAACATCTGTTTTCTCGCTGCCTTGCAACTTTGGTATGAATAGATAGATAATTTGGGAGTCGTGTAGTTCCAGCATTTATTTCTGTGAATAGCTTCTCTGAGCAGAGTCATCTCGACTAGAGACTTGTCATTTTTTTTTTGTCAAAACAGATCAGATTTGCTATGTGCAGATGTTGATAACAGCTCTTCTGATACTGCTTTCATTTCTGACAGTGGAGCATGTGTTAGAAATCTCAAGGGACTCTCTTCTCTCCACTTCATATTCTTTTGAAATATAACCAATTCTGTTAAGATCCCTACTTAAGGATCACAGACACGTATTTTTATGTAATCAAATGCACTTAATCAATGCAGTGTAAAAATTCAGATCATCATGGTTTAACAAAATCAAATACTTTCCTATTGCCATGGCGTTGGTGAATCTTGACAAGTACAACGTTAGGAAAATGTGCAAATTAACCATTAAGAGCTTGCTCATATCTTAACTTTCATTTTAATGTTATCTCCTTACATTTTTGTTCTTCCTTCTGTATGCTTAGGACAAAAAATCCTCCTGCGTGATGCTCTTGGTGAGAGTGACACTGATCTAGACTGTAGACTTTCAGTAGTGAAGTGTCCAGTGCTGCTGTAGCATAGTGCTGGCAAGACCTGATCCTCCTTTTTTCCTTGCTTACCAGATCCTGGCTAATGTGCATATTTAGAGTTGTGCAGAATGTTGCATTTCTCAGGCTGGATTTGAAACTGTCAAAAAATTCTGAACGTGCTTTTCAACGTACGTTGTTTTCTAGGCAGAATTTTTTGCCAGTGTTTCCCCATTTTGGAAGAATTGTTCCTTGTTAGAGGAAATTAAGAGACTTCTATTTAAATTAAGACATTTGAAAATGTGTTGAAAGCCTGATGTGGGGATGTAGCTAGGCTGCCTGGAAAATGTGTCCATAAACCGCAGTTGTCAATTTTGGTCTCATAAAACAGCTTCAGCCTCTTTCCTGCTATGCAGCGCTGCCGTTCTTCATGTCTCCATGTGAATGTGCACAGGAGGATTTGAGGAAATATAAGAAGTTGCACCCTGAAAAACTTCATGTACGTTTTTGCAGTGAAATTAAATGTGGTTTTACTAAGTGATGTTTCTCCCTGTGCTTCCCAGCAGTGTGCTCCCCCATCCTCGCTACTTCAGCAGCGCGCTTTGATTTTTCCCTCCAGACTGTTTTAGGAATGCAGGAGGCAGCTCTGTTGGCACTGCCTGGCTGGTGCCTTGGTGTCATTTTTTTAGCATATAGATGTTAATTTTGGTGTGTGGAGAGATTTGTTGTGAAAGCTTAAAACCTGTGAGGCTGGTTAGTGTGCTGAGGCAGGGGGACATGCAGCCTCTGTACTGTGCTGCTCCTCTCACCTTTTTCTTGACCCTTTGGGATTTCTTTTTTTTTTAATGCACAGACTCACTGGAACACAGACTTCCCTGCAGCCTGCTGTGTTCTTCTTGGGCCTGCACACAGAGCAGGGCTTATTTGTGTAATGATGCCATTTGTTAAAATCTTAAAAAGCAGAGCTTGCCCCCAGCTACGGATTGTATTGAATTTTGTGCAGTGTGTGTAGTAAATACCGTCTCCTTTGCTGCCCTATTAGAACATGGGAAAGATTTCTCTCAGGAAAAGTCACAGTCCTGACTCATCTTCCTGGCTTTGCAGCAAGTTGTGTAACTACTGCGGGTCATAAAGCTGTAACAGGTCCTGAATGCAAAGAAGCTGCTTGAATGCAGGTGATTCAAGAACAGTTCCGATCTCCTGTCTTGTAACTTCTGCTAGTTTGGTTCCTGCATCTTTTCCCATACACTAACTGAAGGGATCAAATCATTTTTTTTTCTGTTGCCCCAAAAATAGCATAAACTCTTTCCCTCAGATTGGAGTTTCCTTTCCTTTCCCTGCCCCTTCACCCCTCTTCCTCCCAGAGGTGTGCTGCGAGAAGGAGGAAAGATCAGAATTAATATTTCTGTTATTTTCAGATGATGTAAGTTAGATAACACTATGCAAATATTCTAGATGTGTATTTTTGAATGACGAACGGAAGCATCTCCCTCACACTGTGGACAGCATTCGCTGGCAAGCTGTACTGAATCCTTGCTATCCTGCAACAAAACTGATGGTACATAGAGGTGCAGAGGCTCTCCGGTGCTGGCCACCACCCCAGTCTTCTGGTGTTCAGTAAGAACTGTTCTTTCTAAGCCCTACGGGCTTTGGGTCACTGCTACCAGGTTATTTGGTTTCAGTGCTGCTATTATCCCTGTAAATAAGGAACAGTCATCTTTCTAGGTAGAGAAGCTGAGCAATCACAACATGAAGACCCTTGCTTTCTAATTGAGGCTTCTGGATCACACACCAGTGCAACCTTAAACACAGGACCCAGTTCATGTAGCAACATGATCGTCATTGTGCCCTTGTCTTTACAGGCTGAATTGCATCTTTTCACTACATACATCTTGGCTTTATCTGGCTCATCCTGCAGTTTTGGTTCCAAAAATAAACACCGTGCATGAATATGTACACACATGCGCTTTTCAGCTCTGTGACTCCTTTGTGGATGACCTCCTTTCCAGCAGTGATGAGCATCATGTAAGGGTATTACTCATTCCTCTTGAAACACACATAAAGCCATAAGCAGGGAGAGGCATGCGAGTCTTCTGTTCAGTCTCAAAGTGTTGGTTGTAAATGTGTCCAGGTTAGAAAGACACTTTGATTGCTTAGGACAAGGGGACCTTTGAAGAGTATTTGTGGTTGCTTGAGCTTCTGTTTCAATACCTAGAAATTCAGGTCATGCCAAGCACAATTTAGCAGTAACTGTTGATGTTCAGAGAAGCCACATGAATGCCACTGACTTGAATTTAGTTTAACTGGGGAAAGACATGCACATCCTAGACATCCCACACCTTCAGTTGCACTGGGAAAAGCCAGAGCCCATACTTGGATTCTCCAAGGAAACATGAATGGGGAAGGATCAGAATGAATATTTCTACTACTTTCAGACATCAACAGTAAGAGGATGTGAGGGGGTCAAATATTTTGCAGTCATGCACAGAAACACCCACCAGACACAGTCAGGGTGTAGGGACTGGAATCTCCCGCTGCATCCTGCAACATTAAAACTTACATGAATAACTCTGTATTTCATAACTATTTATCCTTGACCTCTGTGCAAAAAGAAACACTTTGTTTCACATGCAGTATTTCCAGTGGGAGGGTTTTTTGTGGGTACATCTGAGCTGCCAACATGTTGTGTCGTCAATGACACACGGAATTTCTGGAAATTATGAGAAGGAATTCCAAGTGTCTGCCATTATACTTTAATTAACTCATCATTATTTAGACTAGGAAAATAGGGAACAATATTAATTCCGAAGTACAGTTCTTAATTGCTGTCAGTAACATCTGGAAGAGATTTGGTATCTGTAGAACATAACTCCAGATCTTGCAGGGTTATTCATTGTGCAGTGCTCATCACTTGATAGAACTCTGGGAACTGCTGTACATAGGTGGAGTTTGAACAATACCTGTGGGCAAGGACAGATTTTTTCATGGTATGTCCACACTAAACATCTTTGGCTGTAGGTGAAAGATATACTTGCTCTTATGTATTGAGGCTCCTGTCAATCCTTAGTGCTGAGTGTCTACCCCAGAAACTCGTGTTAGCTGATTGCCACACTGCTAATTGTACGTACAGATGTGTGGTGTCTTCTCTGCCTGCTGTGGTTGCAGACTTTAAGATTTGGAAACGTGATTGCGGTGTGACTGATGTAACACAAAATTGTCAGGAAGCCTGAGGTTTAAAAACAGTGACACCTTTGCTGGAGATGCTGAGTCAAATGCCAGTGGTAGTTTAAAATGTCATTTTGTGAACTTATCCAGTGCTTATTGAAGCTGTAAGAAAAGGGAGAAGTCTCAGGGGGTCTGGCCTTTAAGTCTAAGGGCTGTGTTTCAGCATGTGCCTCAGAGGAAGCAGAGTTGGAGAGAAACCTGTAGATTCCTCCAGATGGGATTGTGGCTGTGGGACTACAGGGCAGGTCTCTCTAGTGGTTTTCTAGTGTCTTCTCCAGGTATTTAGCCTGTTGCCTCTTGCACTTTTTTGTGAGCTCCATCAGAGTTTTACTTGTCCTCTAGCTGATCTTTGTGTGTGTGTGTCTCTGGAGCGTGTGGCTTTGGATGGTGCCTCTGGAGAATCTCCTTTCTGCACCTTTGCTGGTGATGACCAGACCTGACCCTCTGGTTCTGGCCTTTCATGCACGTGTAGGCTCTCTCTCCTCTACTCCACAGCGTCCTCACCACAGTTTTTTTTTATTTTGCTTGGATTTCCCCTTGTATAAGTCCTGTCTGCCTTTTGGCTGTTAAATGCTCATAGTCTCCTACGACCCTTTTTTTTTGGTCACAAGTCAACCCAAAGCACCTAATGGGCTCTGAGATCACATTTATTTACAGGATTGCTTCCTTCAGGTCAGTGACATGGCACAGCAACGTCAGAGCGTCTCAGGAAGGCTGTGTATGTAGTTGTGCAGGTCAGTCATAGCAGCCCTGTGATCGTTTGCATCTTCAACACTAATGCAACAAAAAGTGCAACAAAGCAGCTTCCCTTTGGGTCAGGGAGTGCACCAAACCCTGGATTATTCGGTCATTGTGACTTTATGCTTTCAAAAATGTGATTTAAGCTGCCCCAGACTTTTTTCTTACTCATCTTTAAATTAGACTAGCTGATGTTCTTGAACAGGGTAGTTGATGTTCTTCAGCAAGACATGCCTGTCCCACTCCTGCCTTTCCCCATGCTTATAGTAAAAGTTGAATCTGCTTTAAGGTCATGTTCAAAATGCTGTGGTTCTGCCCAGACCTACCCTGGAGTTCTCTGCCCAGTGTAATACCTTTTATTTTTTTCCCCCCCCTCCCCAATTCTTTTTAAGGAAAATGCAAAAAACGAGGAGATGGTTTGAAACTGGAAAATGACCCTCAGGAGGTGAGTCACCTTGAATGCAGATGTCTGCCTCTTAGCAGGAGGCCTCTAATCCACCTTTGGTCCACGGAGAGTAAGTTCTGTATTTGTTTCTGGTTTAAGGCCGGTTTGGCAGGTGGATGAGGGGCAATGTGATCCCTGATGCTCTTCATTCTTCTGCCTGTGCATTTTATCCATGTTCATGCCTGCTGTTTTCCATTTTGTCTTTTGGGAATGACTGCACCCCAGATGTTTACTCAGTAGCTTTTTACCTGTGTGCACATGGGCAGGATGTCCTTGTGTAACGGAGCATAGCGTCAAGTGAAGAAGTTGCTTGGTGCCATGCTCTCTGGCTGCTTCTTAAAACTGGGCTATCAATTACCTTTTAAGACTCCTTGAAATATAGAGGAGGAAGGGGCAGCAGAAGTGCTGCCTAGCAGGTAAAAGCTTTTGCACAAATGTGTCTCCTTTGGACCTTCTGCTGTAGGACAAAGTGCTGTATGGGAGACCATACCACCACGTTCCCCACACTGCCTTTGGGCTGCCAGTGGGCTTCCATAGAATCTCTTTCAAAAGGTATCCAGTGTAATCCTCAGGAAATATTCAGTTTGAAAGCCCTTGATCCCATGATCTCTGCTGCAGCTCTTGAAGAGTTTTATTTATCCTGTTCATGTGTCAGTGCCCTTCGGGGCTCAGTCCACAGACACAGTTCTGCTACTCGCTCAATACCCGCTTTGTTGGAATTGATAGGAACGGGAGCGTCACTGGTACACAGAGAGCTGAGCACTCAGTTCTGGGGATGGGTCAGGGCAGTGAAGAGTTACCTCTTTCACCGGGGTGCCAGTCCTGCTCAATCTGTGTGGTCGAAAGAGGAGAATTTTCTTTATAAAAGTTCTTGTATAGGGTAGAAGCCTCTATGAGAACAGCTACCACAGCTCCTTCTTCCTTCACAAATGTGGGGGCATTTTCCACTCCTGAAAAATGAATGAGAGTTGTTCCATAGGCACCACATTGCAGAAGGAGCCTTGGAGTTGTGACCAGCACTGTACTTTGCAGCGTGCAGGGTCCAAATGGTCCAAATGATGAAAAGCAAATCAGGTACTAATAAATAATTTCAGCCCTGCATGGGAGAAATTGGTAGAAGCTACATCCTGGCTTTATACACCTGAAGCATCAGAAGTACAGTCTGTATTGGGGTCAGCAAAGAGATGGAATGGGAGCTGTGTCCTCTGTCCTCCATCCTGTAGCCCATATGGAGTTATCTTAGTTGAGATGGGATGTGAGGAAGAATTTCTTTGCTGAAAGGGTTCTGAGGCATTGGAAGGGGTTGCCCAGGGCAGTGGTGAAGTCCCCATCCCTGGAGGGATTGAAGAGTCGTGTAGACACAGTGCTGAGGGACATGGGTTAGTCGGGGACTGGTCAGTGTTGGGTTCATGGTTGGACTCGATGAGCTTAAATGGCTTTTCCATTCGAGGCAATTCTGGGATTCTGTGATCTTGTCAGTGCAGGACTGGGGGCACAGGGAAAAGAGGAGAGGGTGGGTTTTAGCATTTGCTGTCAGACTTGTTTTTTTCAGAGACTGTCAGGTGCTTCACATCCTGCTCCCATGGGCAATGGAAGCTGTGAAACACCAGATATCTTACTTAAATTATGATGATGATGATGTGAAATCCATGGGTACTTCTTATAATGACTGTCACTTTACAAAGTTTGTCTATTTGGTGCTGTATCAGTTGTGTTCTGTACAAACCTGAAGTTGAATCAAGTTGTTTACTGTGTCTTTTGCCTTTGTTTCCTCAGGCAGAGTCAGAAATGGCCCTGGATGCAGAGTTCCTGGATGTCTATAAAAACTGCAATGGTGTAGTGATGATGTTTGACATCACCAAACAGTGGTAAGACATCTTCAGCAGTGTGCACCCCGTGATTCTCACTTTGTTCAGTGGAAACAAATGACTTCTAGATGTCTTGATTCCCAGATGGGCTTTGGAGCTGATAACCAGCCTAATGAGTTGAAGCAAGCTTGTATCCCTTAAAATAACGGCTTTATCTTCTGACACGTCTTTTAATATCCTCCTCTCCTGGGCTTGTTTCAAACAGACAGTCTCCCTGTGGGCTTGTGCGCTGCAGTTTCTGATACACTGCTGGCTGAGGCCTGATAATTAGTGCTATCCCAGGTGCAAAGTATGCAGGGCATGTTACAAACCCATGCTCTGCAGAGCACAGGGGAAGGGGTAATGCCAGTGAGAAATTCCCAGGAAGACTGGTATTAATAGGGATTATTTAGAAGCTCCAGGCTGCATTCATGTACAGAAATAATGAACAGTTCGTTTTGCATATCCACTGAGAACGGTGAGAGACATATGGAAGCCAGAGAGGGAAGAGGAGGTGATAAGAGTTCCTGCTCGTGTTGTACAGGTTTGGTGCGGGTCAGTGAGCCCACTGACATCTGAAAAAAGGGAATCCTTTTCTTCTGCTGACCCCACACAGTTTTGTAGGACTGAGAGAAATATTGCTGTACAAGATGTGAGGTTGCTGGTGGAAGTGGATTATTGAACTTGTCAAGTTGTTTTTGAATAAAGAATGATTTACAGCATATTTACAGTTAATGCATTTCTCTGAGGAGGGTAAAGAAGCCCCAGTCTTGGAAGGGTTTTGGAAAGAAATATATTTCTTTGGGGATTTTTTTCTGTGATTTGTGCATGCAACTGCTCAGAGAATGATGTTTCCCACTCACCTGCCTGTATCCCTCTCTCCTATGGTGAAGGACTTTTAACTATATTCTGAGAGAGCTTCCTAAAGTGCCGACCCACGTTCCAGTATGCGTGCTTGGGAATTACCGAGACATGGGGGAGCACCGGGTCATTCTGCCTGGCGATGTGAGAGACCTCATCGACAACCTAAACAGGTGAGATGGCACTGTGGTCACCAGGCAGGGAAGCAGACCTCAGCTACTCTCCATCATCAGCTGTAGATAACTGTATTGCTGCCGTGCTTCAGATTTACATCCCGTTCATCCTCAGACTCTCTGCCTGGTTTTTGGGCTTTCATAGCTCTGAGCATCTCATACAGCAGCGTTCACGATGGGCTCTTTTTCCTTTGATCTAGGAGCCTGTTCTGGGCAGATTTTTTAGCTGTCATCCTGGACACAGTGAGTGCCTTTCAGAAGGAATTTTTCCCAAAAAGCCATCTTCTTTCTGAATAATCCTTCTCTTGTGAAAGAATCCTTGCCCTGCAGCACAACTGTTCTCTACTCCAAATAATTCTACAAGAGAGCCAGCTAGTGCAGCTGTCTTCCTTGCTCTTCCTTTGAGAGCATCCCCACACAGCATTTACTGGGCACAGCCAAGTCATATGCCTCCTTGGCAGCCAGGCAAGATTTTCCCTTATGCAGAGATCTGAAGCACTCTGTTATGTAGTATAAAATATTATTTGTTGGTCAAGATTCACTAGATTGTACCTTTTTGTGTGGTTTTATGTTTTTAAGGCATTTTTTCATTTTCCTGGTCTCTTACTTGTTTGTGCCTGTGTCAGGCACACAGAAACAGTGTCAGTTTTAAGGCTTGATTCCACAGTGTAATAATTTCTTTCCAAGTTCATCTCTGTACATGACTTATCTGAGTTTAATGCCCGCTGCTGATGCTTGTGACTTAATGTAGGTCTGTTTGTGGTTTTAAAACAACAACCTTCACTGATAAATGAGCAGCTTGTACAACTGTGAAACCCCCAGTTTAGTAAACCAATGGCCCAGTGTCCTGACACAGTATTTCTTAGTCTGGCAGCCGCATGACACTGCAGCCGTTGCAGTGAACACAACACAGTTCTGCCACCCTTCAGGAGGAGCAGAGTGTGAATGTTGTCTGTAAACAAAATATTGAGTCCCTGGCAGAATGACCTGCTAGTCTACATTTGGGATTGAGGGGTTGGCTTGGAAATGAGGACTGTTGGCGGTGTGTAATTCAGAAAGTGCCTTTTCTGTGTGTGTGCAGTCCGTGCCCTCGGTACAGTTTTCTTCTCTCTACCTATCTGGTTGAGACAGGCCTCCCGGCTCCTCATATTTTCGCTATGCTGAGTCTTCCATGAAGAACAGCTTTGGCCTCAAGTACCTGCACAAGTTCTTCAACATCCCCTTCTTGCAGCTGCAGGTAAGAGAGAGGGTATGCCCCTGATGTGCCGGGTGGGTGGGACAGGTTTCATTTCTGTCTCTAAGGCGGGAGTTTGATGTTTGGGGTTTCTTTTGTTGTTAAAGGATCCTGAGTAGATTTTTGTTTTCATAAGAGTTGTTAACTAAGTTATATTAGTACATTGGTGCCTGTGATTTAAACATGTCGCTGCTTGCATGAGGACTCTTCTCTGCTGTGTTCACCAGTGCTTACCTCTGGAGAAAGGCTCCGAGGTGATGAATAACCCTGGCAAGAGAATTACATCCAGTGGTGTAGCTGCCAAGTCAAAAACATTACATACACACATTTGTTAAACTTTGTATTTAAATTCTGTTCAGTTAAAACTCAAATGAGAAGGGATTTGGTCATGAACTGAACAGTTCAGGGACAACTGGTTGCTGAAAATCTTTGCCCTGATGGTAACTGCTCTGCTTGGATCCTATGCACGTAGATCCAGGCCTCGTATTTCCTTCATAGTTGATGATTCTTGGGTGGACTGAGTGGAAAGGCAAGGGCTGAATGGGCACAAAAGCGTGGAATTCTCAACTGTGGTCCTTTAGAAAAAGACCTTTTGGGGTCATCATACGGTGGTCTTTTGGGATCAACATCATATACTTTTTTGGGTACATATGATGTTGTATCATTGATTCTATTGGATGGAAAAAAACAGGCAGTTGATCTTGATTATCTTTCACCAGTAATGGAAATATCTGTGTGTATTTTTATACAAATAATCCCCACTGAAATGTTAGTTCAGAAGAAGCTCAGATATATTAGTGGATGTTACCATGTCCTCAGGGTGCAGAGCAGAAAGAACAGGGATAAGAAAATTGACTGTATAAAAACCTAGTAAAGCAAGTCAAACAATATTTTTGAGGAGGAAGTTGTCAAAATATGAGATATAAACCCAACTTGCTGCTCAGTGGAGAAGATGGAAATCTACCAGCATGGTGTTGGTTAAATGTTTGGTTTTGTAACCTCAGTTCCTATGGTAAAGTGATGTCTTGTGGAAACCATGCAGAATAATTAGTTCTCGGTTTGCTTTTGTCAGATTTGTAGATCTCTCCTTTTCTTCTCAAATAGATGTTGGTAAGAGAAAAAGACATTAGAATAGGCTTCCTGCCAGATTTGTTTCTGAAAGCTGCTCAGAGTGATGCTGTTAATAGTCAGGATGTGTGATGATTTTCCTAGCTATAGTTATGAGCAGGAAATACCAAAGCATTTGTAGTATCAGGTTTGCTTGGAAGCAGCTTTAGGATACGAGTCTTCACTTAGGACCTTTCATTTATATATGCTGTGTATAAATAAACATGATCTATTAATCTGAGACTGAAAGCAATTAGGACACTTGGATAATGTAATTGGCCCCAAAGCTGGAGAACATCTTGGACAAATCTTGGTCTTCAAGGAAACAGAAAAAATAAATCTGATGTAACCTTTAGTTGTTTGGAGTTCCCAGTGACGGTGGCTTAGGAGAGGTGAGGGAAATGGGATGACCAGCCCACATTTGTTCTCCTCTCGGTGGGCTTGGGTTGGCACTGGGCCTGATCCAAAAGTTGCAGGTGCCACATAATTAGACTCCCAAATCCTATTTTTTTCATGTAATGTAATTAAATAATTCCACACTGCAGAAACAAACCTGAAAAGATTTCTTATTACAGTTTAGTTCCTAAATTGTGCAAGAGGAGATTTGGCTGTGCACGTACAAACCATGCTTGTAAATATGTTTGCACTGTTCTTTGTACCTCAGCACGGAAGGTGGCAGTTGAGGAGATTGTCCTGTGCCTGTCATTGAAGGACAGAGTGATCAGACCACAGCTGGCCCGATACTGACTGGCTTTTCCTTTAAAACAGCAATGCCAAAACTAATTCCTGCAGCTCTGTGCTCATACAGAGATTGCAGGCAGTTGGTTTTCTGTGCAGTCTGAAAAAAACCCACAGCATAAGATCCAGTGTGGAGGTGGCTTGTTTCATTTCCCTCTGGTGCACAGGAGATCCCTGGCCTTGCCATTCTGTGCCGTGGCAGACTGCAAGTTTGGAGGCTTTTGGTTGCTTCCACCCATGCTTTGGTGCTTTACTTGATGTCAAATTTCAGCCAAGACATACTGCACTTAGTTTTGCCAGTGCTGTTTGCATTTGTGCCACAGGTTGTTTTTTTTTAGAAGAGCTTTGTGCTGCTGCTGCTGGTGGTGGCTCTGGGTGTTTTGCTGCTGTGCTGGGAACCTTGTCTGGGAGTACATGGGGAGCTGGGGCTGGGCCCCCAGGCCTGATTAACAACCAGCACAGTATGATGGTAAAACCTGTAGGAAATCACAGCTAGAGTTAATTCCTGAAGGTTCTGCTTTATCCCTTCAGAGCTGGTGTGGGTGTGTGGTGGTGGCACTGGGCTGGCACTGGGCTGCAGCCAAACCCAGCCGCTCACTCACTCCCCACCCAGGGGACAGGGGAGAGAATTGGGGGAGAGGGTGAGGAGACTCATAGGGTGAGAGAAGAACAACTTAATAATTGGAATAAAATAAAACTTTAAATAGTACTTATATTAAAATAATAATGATAATAAAATATGCAAATAAGCAATACCCAGTGCCATCGCTCACCACCTGCCGACCAAGCCCGGCCCGTTCCCAGATCACAATCTTGGAGGAGCCACAATCCCGACCCGAAACCGCAATCCCGGGAGAGCCAGAGCCTGAGCGAAAACCAGAGAGAGCAAGAGAGGAAGAGCCCCTCATGGATCTCCTGCCCATGGGGGACAGGAGATGGAACAGCCCCTTGGCAGAGCCCAATGCCCATGGAGCTGATCCATGTCAATATTCCTCCCCCCTGAGATCTTGCGCTTGCAGACGGACAAACACAAAGTCCTTCAGTGCCAGGGACACAAATGCAACATGGGGATGTTCTCAGCGTTTCTCTCCTAACAAATCCCAGCTGAACCCAAACCCCAGCGCTGTTCCAGCTGCTGAACAGAACCAGCTCTGGCCCAGCTCACACCAGGACACAGGCTCCAGAAAGGAATCATTTCCCTGGTACTGTGGTGCAAAGCGGGGTTAAAGAAGAGGAATGCTGCCAGGTATTAAATGCACTTATGATTTAATCGGTCTCACTCGACCTCTGAGGTTTCTGTATGTTCCTCAGCCCAGCCTCCTGCAGCTCTCGAGGGGAGGAGGAGTTGTTCAGCTGGATGATGCGAGATTCCAGGCTGTCCTTCAGCAGAGTCGGTGTTGGGTGCATTGGTTTTAAGTTTCCCGTTTCTGTGTTCAGCTTCCTTACATTCATGCATCTTTCATAAAGAAAGCGGTGGCTGAAATTCATACCCCCAGTGTAGAGCACGTTCCCTCTGGCAGCCCAGGCTCTTCCATTATTTATCAGTTCCTTTCCAGGGGCAGGATTGTCAATCCTGAGGATGCAGCGTAGCTGTAGCTATTGCTGCTGGCCCACAAAATGTGCACACGTGAGCTGGTCAGCCGGGCCCACGGGTGCTGCACTGGAAGGAGACAAAATTCTGCAGACAGCTGAAATTTTACCTTTTCCCAGGAAGCACTTGAGAGTGGCATTCAGCCAAAGCATTGGGCTGTAGCGCATGATTTATTCCCTTTTTTTGGGTCATTGCTAAAAATAAGCTATTTCTTTAATATTTTAATACCAGCATGGTAAAAGAGAATTTTTTTTTATTTTTTTTTTTTTTAGTATTTGGAAGTCCATTATTAGTGTTGAATTTTTACAACATTAAATGTAACTCTCTCTTAATTAAATCTTAGTTCTGAATTTACTTTAATCTGTGAAAATTGAAATAAATACAACTCTGGTATACGTCTCACTGCCAAAGCGTGAGGAAAGGCAAGCCACTTGTTAAATAAAAGCCGTTATCTAAGTGCCTAAGGTGAGCACTGGAGAGCAGTGTCCCTTCTGTCTCTGGTTATTCAGCTAATTTGCTCAGCTTTTCTTTCATTCATCTTAGGAAACTGAGGACAAAGAAGCAGAAAACTTGGTCTTTTTGGTCTCATATTTGCTTAGGCTGTATGAATAGCATAAAAGAATGAAAACTGTTACTTCTAAAATCTTGAATTTCTTGAATCTTGAATTCTAAAATCTAGAATTATTTCTAAAATCTTCATTAGTACTTCTTCTGTTAGTGTAGTGAGTTTAAATATGTACAGCCAAGTTCTGCTGAAACTTTCTTGTCTGTATAGCACAATAAAAGGCATTTGAGTTAACTAATGACTTCATAATTCTCTGTGTACGTGTTAATTGAAGTCAAGTTTCCATATGCATAGAGCTTATGAATATGATGAATAAAAATTACCTAGAAAGAAAATATGGATCACTGCAAGCTCTTAACACAATGACAAAGGTAAAAATGGAGACTTTAAATGCCTTGGAAGCAATAAATTAGCTTAAATGATCATAGAAGCTCTTAAATTTCAAGAAAGACTGTCTTCCATTAAGTTAACATGTTGAAATGTTATCAACTGCTATCAATCACCTGGTCTTATAATACAAAATAAAAATTAATTAAGCCTTGCTTGTGGATTTAAATCATGGTAGAATTTGATATAAATCAGCCTGCCCCATGTGGGGCTCAGCCTGTGCCCTGACTGTTCCCCTGGGCAGGGCAGCGTGCTGTGTTTCCCATAAGGCAGATGAGTTCTTTAAATTTCTTGATAGCTCCAAAGTTGTCACGTCTGTGAAACTAAATTATCAACAGTATATGCACGTAGAGACTGAACGCCGTGGCTTTATACAAGTGTTTGTCCTCCCATTGGGGATTTTATTCTGTAAATCATGTCATAGGTTTCCTTTTGTGCTTTTTCCTCTGATGGGATCTTTCCGCAGAGAGCATATGTGGTGTTAAAAGATGGAATTAAAAATTCACCACGGTTATTGACACTAAACTTCAAAAATAGTTGTCATAGTAGAAAGCTTAAATGTACTTTGAGGATAAGGCAGTTATAAAAGCAAAAACCTTTGAAGTTTGGAGGAAACCTGGGGTTGTTCGTCTGTCTCCTTCTGTCTGGGCGGTGGAGCAGCTTGGCAGCCTGCGGCACCAGTGGACCCTGCGTTAACGGGCACCGTGCGGTGCCGTGAGTCATCAGACGTGTCTCAGCACAAGCTGTCCCGGCTTCCTGGGCCATCTAGTATGTGGGCAGTGGGAGAGGGAGGACTGGGGCTTTCAGGCACTGAACATCATAGAACCATAGAATCCCAGGCTGGTTTGGGTTGGAAGAAACCTTAAAGCTCATCCAGTCCCAACCCCCCTGCCAGCAGCAGGGACACCTTCCACTAGACCAGGTTGCTCAAAGCCTCATCCAACCTGGCCGAGAACACTTCCAGGGAGGAGCAGCCACAGCTTCTCTGGCCAACCTGGGACACTGTCTCACCACCCTCACACCAAAGAATTTCTTCCTCACATCTCATCTCCATCTCCCCTCTGACACTTTCAAGCCATCACCCCTTGTTCTCTCACTCCCTGCCCTTGGCCAAAGTCCCTCCCCACCTTCCTGGAGCCCCTTCGGGGACTGGGAGTTCGCTGGAAGGTCTCCCCAGAGCCTTCTCTTCTCCAGGCTGAACAGCCCCAACTCTCTCAGCCTGTCCTCACAGCAGAGCTGCTCCAGCCCTCGCATCATCCTGGTGGCCTCCTCTGGACTTGCTCCAGTAGGTCCATGTCCTTGTGCTGTTGGTGGCCCCAGAGCTGGAGGCAGCACTGCAGGTGGAGTCTTACACATCATGACTTTTGACTCCAGATCTCAGTGTGGAAACTTGACTGACCTGCCCCTTGCTCAGGGGCTTCCCAGGAGGCCAGTGGGTGCCGGTGCTGGGAGCGTGGCCATTGCCAGTGCCCAGCTGTGCCGCAGCCCCCTGCGTCGGAGCAGAGGGGAAGGGGCTCTGGTGCAGGATTTGTGCCATGGAGCCACAGCCAGGTCTAGTCTTGGCCAGGGGATCCTGACTCGTGTTTCTGCAGAAGCAGATGCTGTGTCAGCCCTGTGGCTCGGGGCTGGTGCAGGGCTGGGTTTGCTGGGCAGGCGGGTGAGGAGGCCGGTGTGGGATCCGCTGTGGATGAGCCTTTGGAGCTGGCCGTGCCCATGTGGTCTCGGTGTAACGTGTGTGGGTATCGATCTCTTCTCGTTGCCATCCGGGCTGTTGGAAGGAGTGTCCCATCACCATTTGCAATTGATTTTGAGCCTTTTAAGCCAGCACTTCCCCTCAGCTGAGGTTTTTGCTTGAATTCTGTTGGAGACGTGGAAAGGGAAGGACTGAATTAAGCTGCCCTGTGTTACATTAGGGAAGCCAACTCTGTTCCACACTTGAAATGGACTGGAGTGTCTGTCTCCCATCTGTGAGGCAGCAGCTAAAGGCAAAGGGGCACCAACTTCTAACATTTCACTGAGTTGACAGGTTGTACTCACTCATTTACCTTGACAGTAAAAAGAGAATTATGGTGAGGTTTTGCATCAGCTGGGTCCTGCTCACAGGGGGACTTGTTTAGCACAGGGAAAAAAAATAAAAGATCCAAACGAATGAGTTGCACGCGTGTTCTCCACAGGAGTTGATACTGTTCTCCAAATGCAACTGGTGCTGCTGTGTCTGGAAATTGTACGCTATTGATTTATGGTTGAGTGTAGCTCGCAGAACAAATTGCTTTCTTACACACAGACTTTCTGGATTAACGTACTTTTGCTACTGCTTCAGCTTCCCTTTGTGCTACTGTATTTAGAGTGAGCGCCGTGAGAGGGACCTGAGCTCCTGTTTAATTCATTGCTGCGGGTAGAGTGGTGACACAGGATCTCGCTGTGCCCTGCGAGCACACAGAGATCTCTTACAATGACCCTTCCTGCTCAGACCCAGCTTCTTTTCCTTTCTTCAGAGGGAGACGTTGCTGCGGCAGCTGGAGACGAATCAGCTGGATATCGATGCAACTTTGGAGGAGCTGTCAGTGCAGCAAGAGACAGAAGATCAAAACTACGAACTGTATGTCATTGAGCCGTCTTTTCTAACGGTTTTGTTGCACTCTGGGTGTCACATGAATGTTGGGCAGCCCCAGTTCTGGTATGTGGCCAGACTGAAAGGTCCAGCGAGTGACATTTAGAGTTTCTTTGGATTTTGTAAAATGTCACTTTGAAGTGGCATCACCTGAAATAAAGCATGCGCTTGGGGATCCCTGGGGAAGGGTTTGGTTCCTACAGGCACGTGATCTCCAGGAGAGTAGTGGAGGTGGAGCTGAGCAGCACACCTGGAGGCACCACGTGCCAAAGGGTTTGTAGATAGGCATGTTGCAGCCTCTGATGCTGAAAGGGAATATTTTTCATCTCTCTACTGCTCAGAACACAAGTTGATTCCTCTTCTGGCTATTGTATTCCTGCGTATTGTGTGTTTTATGATAAGCAGAAAGTAATAGCAACGTTGTCTTTGTTCCCTTTGACTACTTCTAGACTCCTCAGTGCATCTCTGTTAAAGAGTGGTTAGTTCCTGCTGCCGTGTGTTTGTTCAGTGCCCTGTCTGTTTGCTTGCTGCTTGAAAGGCACTTTTGCCAGATTTAGCCCTGCAAAGCCAGTACATCTGTAGCAGAGTCAGCAGGAATCTCTTCAGACCTGTATGTTGTTGACAAACGTGTTCTGTGAATTCCCATTGCAAGGTGTGTATTGCAGTAGTGTGCAAGATAGAAGAGTCAACCCCAGAATGAATTGGAAAAAAGATTCTTTACAGGCAGCTTTATTTGGAAGCTGGAATCAATGATTATGAAATATTCCTGTGCAGCCATTTTGACAAGCATTTTTGAGACCAAGTTTCAAGTTCTGTAACCTTGGTCAGTGTGTTCTCGTTTGTGAGAGCATTGAAATATCCTGTATACACACAGAGCAGGGCTGTTTCCCGAGTGTTCACCTCATTCCTTTCCTTAGGGACTGCTTAGTCTCCTCATGCCTTCAGCAGTTCTCTTGATGTTCCTACTCAAAGGGCTGGGCTGTGTGGGCTGTGCTGTCAGATTGTTTTCCAGTGTTTTTGTTTATACTGCATCAGGAATGGGAAGATACTTAAAAGAATCAAGAGTTGGCAGAGCTGTTCCAAACCTGCACTAGACGATCTTGCTACTTAGTCACCTCTCACACTTACATCATCTTTAGCATTTGCTGGACCCTCGCATGTGCCAGTTCTCACAGAATCACAGAATCACACACAGAATTGCCTGGATTGGAAAAGCCCTTTAAGCTCATCAAGTCCAACCATGAACCCAACACTGACAAGTCCCCGACTAACCCATGTCCCTCAGCACTGTGTCTACACGACTCTTCAATCCCTCCAGGGATGGGGACTCCACCACTGCCCTGGGCAACCCCTTCCAATGCCTCAGAACACTTTCAGCAAAGAAATTCTTCCTCACATCCCATCTCAACTGCCCTTGGCAACTCACAAATCCAGCAGAAAACTATCTGCCATACCTTCTTCTGGGTTAATCTGAGAAGCATCTGCCTAACCCCAGGATGTAAATGAAGCAGCAGCAGTATGGGGCTGGCAGAGGTGGGTGCCAAGACCTCCTAGTTCCAGCAATGGATGTTAGGCTGGATCATCCCATCCAGTGTCACCACACCAGTGTACACGTTTTTATCATATTGGTGTGCTTCCACTGCCACAGAGTACCTCCTCTGGATACGTGCTGCTGCAGAAATAGTGTGGTTGCTGAAGAGTATTGTTTGCAGTGTGGTAGCATCCAGCACCCTAGGGCCAGACTGGTCCCATTGCTCTAGGCACTGCACACTGAGTCCAAAGGCACGTTCTGGCCTTTTGCAAGCTCAGAGGAGCATTTGGTGCAGTCGCTGGTAGCTGGCATCACCTCAATAGAAGCCCCTGAGTCATCTGCAGAAACTCCAAAGCCAGATCAACATTTGACCCACAGGTCAGTACCCTGGCGTTGTCCAACCCAGCTCGTGACCGCAGGGAAGAACAGAAGATGAAGTGTGTGCACCTGAAGATGCCCATGCCCTGGCCAGGCAAAGGACTGCTGCTGGGGAGGGCTAGCACTGCCACCTGCTAATTGCACTATTAAGCTACGTAATTGGCTTAACGTGGCATAAGAAATACCTTGGCCATGGTACCTGACAGGAGTTACTAAAATGTTAAAAGTAGGACTTTTCCCTAGGATTCTGGTTTAACAAATAAACAGATTTTTATGCAGCTGGCCAACTTCTGCTGCACTTCAGCTACTGCACATTTATGTCTGTGTGCTGAGACAAACGCTCTTTGCTTCCAGAAAATAATCACAGAATCACAGACTGGTGGGGGTTGGAAGGGACCTCAGGAGATCATCCAGTCCAACCCCCCTGCCAAAGCAGGTTCCCTGCACCAGGTTGCACAGGAAAGTGTCCAGGTGGGTTTGGAACATCTCCAGAGATGGAGACTCCACACCCTCTCTAGGCAGCCTGTCCCAGGGCTCTGGCACCCTCACGGTAAAGGAGTTTTTCCTTAAGTTTGTCTGGAACTTCCAGTGTCCCAGTTTGTGCCCATTGCCCCTTGTCCTGTCACCAGCCACCACCAAAAGAGCCCCATCCATTGGCCCCCACATTTCAGATATTTCTATATTCTATAATGCTTCTTTGTAGAAGGTTCTTTAAAATATCCAGGGGTGCTTCCTGACTTGAACCTCTTATCCCAAAAGAAAAGAACCAGGCTATGTCATGTCTGAGTACGTTGATGACACTGACTAAAATAGAGTGCTACTTCAGGATTTTTGAGGTTTTTCTCTGCACCACAGATAGAAACAAAGAGTCTGTTTCAGTGGCACCTCTTTGAAATAGGTGAGCTGCAAAGGGGTTACTTCAGCCTCACAGCTGAAAAGTGTGCTCTTCCTACATTCATTTTTTATCCCTGCAGGAGCTTTTCAGGCTTGAGTCCTTTAGCCAAAGTCCTGATTTAAAGAAATAACCACACTCATATGGCAGGGAACTCGGGTTTGGGTAAAGTTCCAGTTCTTAGTGAGCAGTTTAGGCTGGTGAACAGAGTATCTGTGGACACAGTGACAGCGCATGTGACAATTAGAGCTTGCAGTTGTGAGGCAGGTCTGCAGTGCTCGTTATTAGGGCTTGGGAAAGTCCTTGCATCCATGCTTGACAGACACCCATCATTTTGAGATTATCATGTTTCACATGCTGCTGAGGTGGATGTCAAAATGAGCACCTGGTGCGTTGTCCTCTGACACACACCTTGTTGTGTACAGCCTGTGCGCTGGCGCAGTGTGACGTGTTGACCCTTGGCAGATGTGAAGCCCTTGTGTTGGTTGCTTCAGTTTCAACAAGACTTGGAGTTCTGCTGTCGATCAGAGAATTGCCCAAAGAAGCTGTGGATGCCCCATTCCTGGAGGCATTCAAGGCCAGGCTGGATGGGGCCCTGGGCAGACTGGTCTCGTGGTTGGCCACCCTGTCCACAGCAGGGGGGTTGGAACTAAATGATCTTCAAGGTCCTTTCCAACCCAAACCAGTCTGTGATTCTGTGATTCAGCATGAATTGTGCAGCAAAGGGAGGGGCCACAGGCACCTGGGGCCACAGGCCATGGTGTGCCTGCTGCAGCACCTCCTCCAAGGCAACTCCTGCTCTCCTGCCACAAAATCAGGCCACGGAGCAAGGCGAGGTGACAGTGCTAGGACATCTCAGTTATTTCATTCACCCCTGTGCTCGTCTAGTAGCTGCTCTGTCACAGTGACCGATGCTAAATTTGGATCAGAGAACAGAAAGGGAACAAGAACTCTTCCTCTGGCTGCGACTGGGTACCCGAGGACAAAACGTCATTGCTCCAGAATGTGGATCCTAGAGAAGACACGAGGTGGCACACAACGCTGCCTCATCCGCCTTATGTAAGCGCCCCTTGGCAGCCAGCACTGGGCTCTGCCGGAGGAGGACACATTTAGATGCTTCCAGCTCTTTCCAAGTGCTTAGTCTCCTCTCTGCCTGCCACACCTCTTGCTCTGGTAATTTCCTGGTTGTTTCTCAGATTTTACATTTTCAGTGCTTCTAAAAAAAAATACATTTCAGCCCTTGTTGAGTTCCTGAATTCTTATTAAACAAACAGCAATGACTTCTTTGGTTCTGTTCTGAATTTGTACTTAATTTACTCAATTTTTCCATCTTTAATTGCACCCAGCTTATTTTCTGTCACAAGGAAAACTTTTTTATGTTCAGTGTGCCTGTTCCCTCACTGAGTGGTGCATATGGAGAAGTAGTTTTTGGGAAATTGTGGCAGCTTTTCCTGCATATTCATTTTTTTCAGGAATAAGCTGCTGCTGGAAACATTTGCCAAAGTTAATAAGAAGCAGATTTTAACGTATGGTTTTCATGAGCTTTTCTGTTTGGCTGCATTTTTCCTAGTATTACTCTTATTTTAATATCAAAAGACATTTAATTTCAAGGGTTAAGTAATCAACTCTCTCTGAATTAACTTTTTTTTTCCCTAGGGATTAATAGAAGTTAGTCAAAATGAATACTCAAGTTACTCTCTGTGAGAAATCTCATCTTCTTTCGTGCTCAGTTTTGAGAGGTTCAGGAAATTGTCATCTATAAACTACTGTGTGGTTTTTGATTTATAAGTACATGAAGTCCAACTTCTTCACAGGACTTGTTCATAAGAAATGAGTTTTCAGATCATTTACTCCTTGTGTTTAAGAGCTCTCACAGCAAACTGCTAGTCAGGCTTTGTAAAAATACATTCAAAGCAGTTGAACTTCAGATCATCTGAGATACTGTATGATCCAAGCTACAGCTTCTGCAGCGGCAGGACCTGTCCCAGGTTTGCCATGGGGTGGAAGTCCTTCTGGGTACTTTCCCAGCTGTACCATACAGGTATTATCTGCATTGTCAGGTCATCCTGGATAGCCAGGTGCTACGGTCCAGGTAGGGAAGATCATAGAATCATTTAGGTTGGAAAAGACCTTTTGAGATCGTTGAGTCCAACCATGAACCCAACACTGACAAGTCCCCGACTAACC